GGTATCTGAATCCCTCCCTCCTGCACCATCCCTGTAGCCACGTGTTCAACTGCTCTCTCTCCCTATTCCTCGCCTCGCTAGCACGTGGCACGGGTAACAAACCAGAGATAACAACTCTGTTTGTTCTCGCTTTAAGCTTCCACCCTAGCTCCTTGAATTTCTGCCTTATGTCCCCATCCCTTTTCCTACCTATGTCGTTGGTGCCTATGTGGACCACGACTTGGGGCTGCTCCCCCTCCCCCTTAAGGATCCCGAAAACACGATCCGAGACATCACGGACCCTGGCACCTGGGAGGCAACACACCAACCGCGAGTCTCTCTCGTTCCCACAGAATCTCCTATCTGTCCCCCTAACTATGGAGTCCCCAATGACTAATGCTCTCCTCCTCTCCCCCCTTCCCTTCTGAGCAACAGGGACAGACTCTGTGCCAGAGACCTGTACCCCATGGCTTACCCCTGGTAAGTCGTCCCCCCCAACAGTATCCAAAACGGTATACTTGTTTTTGAGGGGAATGGCCACAGGGGATCCCTGCACTGTCTGCCTGTTCCCTTTCTGTCCCCTGACTGTAACCCATCTACTTTTTTCCTGTACCTGAGGTGTGACTACCTCCCCGTAACTCCTCTCAATTACCCCCTCAGCCTCCCGAATGATCCGAAGTTCATCCAGCTCCAGCTCCAGTTCCCTAACACGGTTTCCGAGGAGCTGGAGTTGGGTGCACTTCCCGCAGATGAAGTCAGTGGGGACACTAGTGGTGACCCTTACCTCCCACATTCTACAGGAGGAGCATACAACTGCCCTAACATCCATTCCCACTGTTCTGAATTCCCAAACAGACAAATTAAAAAAAATATATACTAGTAGCCTTACCAAATCAGCGCTCAGAACCTTTTTTTTTGGTTAGAGGAGGAGGATGGGTGAGAGACACTACCATAGAACTGATGCGAATGTATATATACTGATAAAACCTTTAGATATCTCAGGGCAGTGACTTGAAAGAAATTCTGGAATTTGCATATTAATCCTTTCTTACTGATTAAAGATTCAACAGCCATCTTCGGTTTGTTTAATGCATTTGCATCGGTTCTAAGACCCTTTAATCTTTTGCTTATAAATTCTGTGCCTGATGCCACCTCTCTCACTGACACCTGAAGAAGGAGTGAGACTCCGAAAGCTTGTGTCTTCAAGTAAACCTGTTGGACTATAACCAGGTATCGTGTGATTTTTGACCTTGTCCACCCCAGTCCAACAGCGGCTTCTCCACATCATGGAAATATGTCACCATTCCTTCAGTGTTGCTGGGTCCAAATCCTGGAACACCGTCTCTAACAGCATTGTGGGTCTACACACGACAGACAGCAGAGATTCAAGAAGACAGCTCAGCACCACCTTCTCAAAGGCAATCAGAGATAGGCAATAAATGTTTTCTGAGCTAGTGATGCCTACATCCCTTGAATGAATAAAAAGATTTCTCCTTTGAAACCTACAACTGAATTTACCTTCACCACATTTTCAGGCAGCCCATTCCAGATCCTAACTCTTCTCACCTTTGTTTCGTCTGTCAGTTACCATAAATCAGTGTCCTCTTATTCATGATCCTTTCACTAGTGGAATTCTTTTGAGTTTTCTTCTCTAGAGAACATTGGAGTTTGGATCAATGAACAAATTCAATGCTAATTTGGAGAGACATTTGATGTTGACAAGGGAGAGAGAGGTTATAGGAGACTGATAGGAAAGTTGCGTTGTAGCTGCCATCAGTTTAGCTATGTTCCTAATGCAGATTGGAGCAGGCTTGAGGAGTTGAACAGCTGACTCCTCCTATTTTATATACTATTTATGTTCACCATAACGTCCGGGCTTTTCTTCTCTCAGCCTTTATTTATAAAGCGTAGGATCTTGTATCTTTTATACTTCCTCAACCCTGTCCCACCACCTTCAATGATTTGTTCGCATGTAGCTTCAGGTTCCTCTGGTCCTGCACTGACTGTAGAGTTATAGAGTCATACAGCACGGAAACAGACCTTCGGCCCAACTAGTCCACATTGACCATGTTCCCAAACTAAACTAGTCCCACCTGCCTGCATTTGGCCCATATCCCTCCTAACCCTTCCTATTCATGTAATATCCAAATGTCTTCTAAACATTGTAACTGTACCATTCTCTGTGTAAAAAAGTTGCCCCCATGTCCTTTTAAAATCTTTCTCTTCTCACCTTAAAAATATGTCCCCTAGTTTTGAACTCTCTTACCTTAAGGTGAATAGCAAAGGTATTTTCCCTATCCATGCCCCTCATGATTTTATAAACCTCTATAAAGTAATTCCTCAATCTCCTATGCTCCAGTGAAAAATATCCCAGCCTATCCAGTCTATTTTTATAACTGAAACCCTCCATTCCCGACAACATCCTGATAAATCTTTTCTGAGCCATCTCCAAGTAAATCATATCCTTCCCATAGCCGAATTGTACTCATTTTAATCAACCTTTCTTGGTTGTACTGTGACACACACCTAGGGGAGGTGGGACTTGAACCTTGACCTCCTGGCCCAGAGTTAGGACACTACTGTTGTGCCACAAGACATTAGCACTGCATCCTTCATTTTCTGCTGCCTGTCCTCATTCTCCCAATCAGGATTGACATACAAGTGTGATTAAATTAGATATAGACCCAGAAGCTTAGATTCCGTATATAATGAAGAAGAAATAGAGACTGCTCCATCAGTCAATAATTGTAGAATCCCTACAGTGGTAGAAGCAGGCCATAAGGCCCATTGAGAACACATGACAAAGCCTCCGAAGAGCATCCCACCCAGACCCAACCCCTTACCCTATCCCTGCATTTCCCATGGTTAATCCACCGAGCTTACACATCCCTGGACACTATGGGTAATTTAGCAATGGCCAATCCACCTAAACTGTGCATCTTTGGACTATGGGAGGAAACCCACGCACACACGGGGAGAATGTGCAAAGTCGACACAGACAGTCACCCAAGGATGGAATTGAGTCCTGGTCCCTGGTGCTGTGAGGCAGCAGTGCTAACCACTGAAGCCATCGAGCCACTGGACCACCCCAAAAATCATCATATCATGGCTGATCTTCTGCTTACTTGCTTCATCCCCACGTTTCTTGGTTCCCTTAGAGCCCAAGTCTCTCAGTTTTGAATAGACCCAACGATGGAGCACTCACAGCCTTGTTAGGTAGAAAATTCCAATGATTTAGAACCCACTGAGTGAAAAAGTATCTCCTCACCTCTAAATGATCAACTCTCATCCTGACACTGCGCCTCCTTGGTGCAGTCTGGTGGAAGCAGCCTCTCAGCTTCGGTCAAACTGTCTCATGATTTTATACTTGTCAGTCTGGAGCAGCATTGTCTACAGAGAGTGAAATTTTTGTCTGTGTCCATTAATAATGCTATAGGTACACGTTTTGAGGGGGGATCTGCAGTGGGGGCAGTTCTATTCAGTGGCAGCGCTGTTTAGCTGCAGGTGTGACAATGGGTCACATAATGGTGATGCCCAATTACAGAATACCCTGCTATATACAGCAATTAGAATATATTACCATTAGAGTAAAAGTGCTGTTAATAAATCATGACAATGACTTTTGATGTGTACAAAACCATTTTTCTCATTTCTTTCCAGGCTCTCTCCCTCATTCCAGATGCAGCTGAATTTCTCAAGTGGGTGAATGTAAGTCACAAAATCCTTACAGTACAGAAGGCGGCCATTCGTCCCATCATGTCTGCACTGGCTCTCCGAATGAGCAATTAACTTAGTGCCATTCTCCTGCCTTCTCTCCAGTAATCCTGCACATTCTTCCTTTTCAAATAAACGTCCGATTCCCTTTCAAAATCCATCACGCTCTCTGCATCCCAGATCCTAAATAATTGCTGTGTGGAAAATCTTTCTCTCACAGCACTTCTTTTGCTTCTTTTGCCAATTACTTTAAATCTTGGCCCTCTCATTCCTGGTCTTTTCAAAAGTGGGAACAGCTTCTCCTCATCTTCAGATTTTGAGTACTTCTATCAAATTTCCTTTGGGCCACTATTTCCACAAGCTAAACAGTTGTAACTTCTTCCAATCTATCTTCACGACTGAAGTCTCTGGAGCCATTCATTAGAATCATTTCTGCACCTGGCCTAACCCTTCACATCCGTCCTTAAGCACATTGCCCAGAACTGCTCACAACACTCAAGCCAAGGCCAAACTAGTAGACCTGCAGCCCATATGAAAATGTTTTCCTTCCTGATCAAATTCTGTTAATGAAATGAATCAGACTCACCAACTTATTTATGCTGCGTTGATTGAAGCACCTTATGCCATTGTGAAACTTGGTAACATGTTTGATTGTGCACCTAAGATTGTAGGGTCAAATCTCCCTCCAGAGAGTTCAATTGGTTCTAGGCTGGTAGGTGAAGCATTGGTGGCTGAGGTGGCTCAGGGATCTGTATCCTTTCAAGTAAGATTCTAAACCAAAGACCCACCTATTCTTTCAGGCAGTTGGAAAATCTCATGACACTGCTTTTAAAAGAAAAACAGGAGAGTCCTATCTTACTGGCCTAGCCAACATCAAACAAGATCAATAGACTGGATGACCTGGTCATGAGTCCCTTACTCTTCATTGGACCTCACTGGGTGAAAATTGATTCCCACATTTCCTGTATTACAGCAACAATTACAATTCTGCTCCTATGATGCTGCTTGGCCTGCTGTGTTCATCCAGCCCTGCACCTTGTTGTTTCGGATTCTCCAGCATCTGCAGTTCCTACTATCTCTGATACAATTTAAAAGAGCACTGAATTGGCTGTAATTTGTAGTCTTGAGATTTTGAAGAGTGATGCGTAAATACAAGTTCTTTCTGATATTCCTTCATATTTGAGTCAATGCCTTCAGGATAGCGTCAGAAGTTGGAGGATATCATTTTTGAAAGAAACATCCCAAGCCCTTCCCTCATTTCAATTAGATCAATGAATGTTTCACTGGGCAAAATATCCAGAAATTCTTGGAAAGCCTTCAAAGGGGCTGATGATCTGGGCCAGAGCAGAAATTTTCCTCACCAGAGTCCCTTGATCAGTAGCAAATTCTGGGATGAGGCTATCATAGAGAGGGCTCCAGTATATTTTTGAACATGTTGACTGGAAATGATGGCAGGGGAGAAGAATTTGAAGGTAACAGAGTATGTTGGGACTAAGCACCGGAGAGAAACCTAGAAAAGTTCAATGCTACCTTAATCTGCCAATTACAGAAATCCAACAGAACTTTGTATAATCAATTGTACAGCAAACTTTTTATTTAACTGGCACTTATGGGACCAGGAGTGTGCTGGTTGATCAAATATTCCAGTTGATCAAGAGGATACATAATCAACGAACAAATAACAATACAGCACATGAATTGGCCCTTCGGCCCTCCAAGCCTGTGCCGACACATTTTGCCCTTCCATATTAAAACTGTCTTCACTTACAGGATCCATATCCCTCTATTCCTTTCCTATTCATGTATTTGTCCAGGTGCTTCTTGAATGTTGCTATTGTGTCTGCTTCCACCACCTCCTCTGGCAATGCATTGCAGGCACTCACCACCCTTTGTGTGAAAACTTGCCTTGCACACCTCTTTTAAACTTGACCCCTCATACCTTCAATCTGTGTCCCCTAATAATTGACGGCCACCTCTCCCACCCTGGGAAAAAGCTTAATACTTTCCACTCAATCCGTGCCATTCACAATATTATAAACGTCTATCAGGTCGCCCCTCAACCTCCTGCATTCCAGTGAAATCAAACCCAGTCGATCCAACCTTTCTTCATTGCTAAAATCTCCCATGTCAGGCAACATCCTGGTAAGACTTTTCTGTGTCCTCTCCAAAGCATCCATATCCTTCTCATAGTGTGGTGACCAGAACTGTACGCAATCAATGTAAAAACACACACTTAATTATAGAAACATAATGCAGGGGCTATATACATCACTGTCATACTTTATTTATATCATAAATCACTTAAATAATAATGCAACTTTGCCTTAAATAAAACTTTGTGGCAGAGATGCTTCTCAATCACACTCTCAACTGACTATTTGGACATCACGGAGATTTCAATAATACAGCAAACTTCCAGTATTTCAGGTGATTGAGAGTGCTGATTCATATGGTGCCAGTTGAAACAAAGTTTGCTGTATCCCTTTCAATGCAGGAATTTTCCTTTCCAATGTCCTGTACAATGCAGGGGCACCAGGACACCTATGAGTCCCTGACCAGTTTTGGTGAAGGTCCATGTAAGAGAAATGTCATTCCAATCACTCTCCACCACACAGGGGCAGCAGTGTGTACCATTTACAAGATACACCGCAGCAACTCACCAAGGCTCCTCTGACAGCACCTTCCAAACCCACAACTACATCCATCTAGAAGGACAAGGGCAGCAGGTGCATGGGAACACCATCACTTTCAAGTTCCATTCAAGCCACACACCATCCTGACTTGGAAATGTATTGTTTTTCCTTCATTATCACTGGGTCCTGAAACTCCCTCCATCGTGGTACTGTGGGTGTACTTAAACCCCAAGGACAACAGCAATTCAACAATGCAATTCACTACCACCTTCGCAAGGGCAATTGGAGATGGGCAATAAATACTGGCCACATCCCATAAATGTTAAAAATGATGAATGCTCCTCCATTGTTTTGTAATATGGTTCCCCAAGTCCCATTAATTGGGTACTGCATAAGGGACCCCATCCCAAAAGTGCAGGGTTTTCCATGGGGATTGAGAAATGACAGTAATTTTTTAAGATCTGAGTTTCATGTCACAATCCTTGTGGGTCTAACTCTGTGAATTCCACCCATCCTTGAATTTTTATCTTTAGTGTGTATTATTATTGAAACAAGTATGAGGGGCAGGAATAGAAGAGGCAGCTCATTAGGCCTAGCCCAATTGTGACTAGATGCTTCCATCAAATCCCACCACCCCGACCCTCCTTTCCTTTCCTGCTTCCCCAGCCTTGTCATCTCCTGAGAGAAGGAGAAGGTGAGGGTAAAGTTCTCATAATTTAGAAATTCTTTCAGTCTAAAATTTTTTGATTCTCTCTTTTTTTCAGGATGCTTCTCAAAACAAACTGCTTTCAGAAACTGCCAATATCACTCTCCTTGTGCCCACTCAGAAGGCAATTGATGGCATGGATAGTGACAAACGAGCATTCTGGCTCAAAGCAGAGCAGCTTCCAAACCTGGTGAAGTGAGTTAATTATCTTTATAGCTTGAAATGTCAATGGGTGCGGAGGCTGCTCTTTTACGAGCAGCATCTAAAATGGCTGTGCATCAGTATCCACTAGAAGACATTATGTGTTGTGTAATCTCATGTACAGACAGAACAAAGCAGCGGATATACAGTAGTGGTTTACATAGGTTCATTAGTTTAACCCCCTTGAGACCATTGAGCCATTGGCATGCTCAAGCAACAACTAGAACATAGAACATAGAACAGTACAGCACAGTACAGGCCCTTCGGCCCACGATGTTAAGCCGAACTTTGACCCTAAACCTAAGGTCTATCTAACCTCCACTCCTACCTCATACTATCATCCATATACCTATCTAATAGCCACTTAAATGCCCCTAATGAGGCCGACTCCACTACCCTCTCCGGCAATGCATTCCACGCCCCGACCACTCTCTGAGTAAAGAACCTACCTCTGACGTCTCCCCTATATCTACCTCCACTCATTTTAAAACTATGCTACCTAGTAGGTACACTATGCTACACTATGCATAATAGCTACCTCCACCTTAGGAAAAAGTCTCTGGCTATCCAAAAAGATTCAAAAACTAGTTCAAAAAGATTACGGAACAATATACAAATTTAAATCTCATTATGCTGACGTCTTAATATTGTGCTGAAGCCTAAAAGGGCAAGCTGATGGCCTAGTGATATTGTTGCTAGACTGCTAACCCCATGTTTAAATCCCACCACAGCAGATGGTTGAATTGAATCCAATAAAATGTGGAATTAAGAAACTAATGATGGCAATCGATTGTTGGAAAAACTCATCTGATTCACTAATGCCCTTTAGGGAAGGAAACTGCTATCCTTACCCAGCCTGGCCTACGTGTGACTCCAGACCCCCAGCAATGTGATTGACTCTGGGGAGTTAGGGATGGACAATAAGTGCTCACTTCCCGTGAATGAATATAAGTCTTGCATCATTATTATTGGAGGTGCTATTCACCTAGTCCCAGACATTAACCCTTGCAATCCTATTACACTATCTCTCTCATCTTTGTCCATATTTTCTGACTTTCATATTTATCTATCACTCCATCTCTCACCAGGTCTTTGACGTCAGATTCAATCTGCCAAATGTTTTTCCCAACTCTGTCTGATTGTGTTCCTGCCTGACTTAGAAGATCAGTAGACTCTGTCTCTCTGAACTTTTGTATCTTGACTTTGATGGTGTTTTCAAAATCTGTAATATCTGTTTGTTTATAAATTTCTGGCTCAGCATCTGGTTCATCCAAATGTATGACTAATTGATGCTTTAATGAATAGAAATCAGATTCCTCCCATTTCTTTGTGTAGTACCTTCTTCAATATGTACTGGATAAGATCTCTTTTAATTATTATCTTTTCAGATGGATTACTCCTTCTCTGCCTTTATCTCTTGTTTATACCCTTTCTCCTTCTGTCAGCTTGGGTAGGTTCCTGGTACAGCACCTCCTCTCATTGTTGTAAACCTGTGGTTTGTGATAAGACTATGTCTTCGGTTGTTTGAAAAACCTGGATTGCTAATCCCAGAAGAAATTTGGACAGGATGGAAAGCTATGTTCTAAAAGTGCAGCCCATCAACACCTCTGATGGTGCCAACCCACATTGTATTGGAGTAGACCTGTTGTTTAGGAGTGAATTTTAAAAAGAATCTTTATTCACCTTCCATGGTTTTGAGGCCTCTTTTGGCTTCAAGTAATCATTGAAGATTCAGGGTGGCAGTAGGCTTTGGAAATTCACTAAAGCCTTTGCTTTTTGCAGCTCTACCACTACATCATTGCTACTGACAATATGCAGTAAGAAACCAGTTGTTGTTTTGAGAATCTAACCTCTTCATAAGTGTCAAATTATCTTCTTGTAGATGGTTCAAAGCCACTTTAACCTAATGTCATGTTCCTTGACAGATTCGCAATTGACTAAGATCCTATCAATATGATATAATACTCCTTCAAAGCCTGTAAAATGTTTAGCCTGGCTCTTTAGTAATGTACCAGCTCCAACCCTATACCAAATAGTGACTATTCTAAACAAAATCTTTTGCAATTTTGACTTCTCATTCAAAGAGCCAGTTTTATGAACATGCCACTTTTGGATAACTCTATCATGCTTTTGTCTCCTGAAGACATGGGATGAATTTCCTCTGCTACGGCCTTATTAAGTTGAATTTAACTAGGCAAATGTAAAGCATTCTGTTGCATTTCAGACCTCTCTGGAGGCATAGTAACAGCCAAGGCCATCTCTCTCAACTGAAGTTGAACATGTTCCATTAGTCAGTGTAGTGTGTTCTTGGGTGTGAAAAGATACACAGGTTTAACACCTTTTCACAAAGCAATGCTGTGTTCAGTTTGAAGTCTTCCCAGTAAATAAGTTCAGAAAGTTTTTTTTCTGAAGACACTATTCAACTATTGCTGATTAACTTGCTTCACCATCCTAATAGGATTAAGGTCTATACGAGTGTTCTACTCAAAAAGGAAAATTCCTGATTCCGTGTAACACACAATGTTTCCAATATCTCCTTTTCCTTATACTGGAGTATTACTTGTAACTCACCAGTGACTTTTAGTTCCATCACTCCTAGACCTGGTCTTTGTTGGTTGCAGAAAATGTGTTGATAACCACAATTCATTGTTGGATAGAATCATTACAATGGCTCCAATATCCAGTTTAATATCTGGTGAATGCTCACTGACATATATCTGCAACTGAGAATGCATGGTTGGGGTCATTGATCTCACCAAAGGAATATATTTTTGTTCTTCTGATGGAGATTCTTCAACCTCATTAATGGCTTTATCTGTGAATACTTTTCTTTCTTTGGAAGCTGTGAAATTAGAAGTTTTAGTTTTGCACATAGAACTCATCCATGCTCACCAGGTTTCCCAAACTAAAGTGGTTTTGGCCCATATCCCTCGAAACCTTTCGTATTCATGTACTTGTCAAAATGTCTTTTAAATGTTGTAATTGTACCTGCATCCACCACTTCCTCTGGCAGTTCATTCTACATACGAACCACCCTCTGTGTGAAAAAGTTGCCCCTCAGGGTCCCTTTTAAATCTTTCTTGTCTCACCTTAAACTTATGCCCTCTAGTTTTGAACATCTTCTCAAAATGATCAATTTTTCAGCAAAGAAGGAATTTTGCAATATTACAGGAATCTGTGTATGTGCCAGTGGAACTAATTGTTTCACCGTGCTAGCAAGGTTCAATGACATTTCAATGACACTATCTTGCACTTGCCTTCCCAAGTGTACATTCAGTGTAATGCTTCTTCTATCTTCCAGTGCTTAACAAACTCTATGGTTAGTGGAGAATTCTTTGGCCAAACATTTTCTTCTCACTATTGTCCCATTCTGTTTACAGAACTCTTTGTGTCTCAACAGCTGTTTGTTCTAGGGTGAAGTCTTCCTTAGTTTGCAATAAATCTGATAGGGATTCACCAGCAATACTGACTACAATGTGATCTCGCATTCAGCTTCTAGGTGTCTATACTTACATCCTCCAACCAGCCTGTAAAAGTCAGTAATAATTGCACCTATTGGTTCATCTGGTTTCTACTGAAGTTTCAATCAAATTCTCTCGCATGTCTCAGTCATGTGTCCTCTTGTATCACCATTATGGGAGGTGATATTCTCACTGTCTCAGGCATTAACCCTTACACAATTGCTGTTATATGTAAAGTCTTAGCTTAATAATAAAGATTCCACATTAATGTACTGCTAATTCTTGCTGTACTATTCTATATTTGCCTTAAGCAGAAGGTGACAGAAGCAGCTCAATAAACCATACATATAAAGTACGTGTAGGATAGGGTAAATGTTTTAGTACGTTCATTTGCAAACACAATTATCCCAATGTACACACTGAGCTTTGCCTTTTTGTCGATATATTAGCGCAAATATACACCTCCACAAGAAGTCCTGTGTTTATAAAGCACCTCTAAAATCATAAAGTATCTCAAAGGCACTTTACAGTATTGTTATCCAATAAAATTACATAATGAACCATATCGGGATATGTTAAGATGGATGAGCAAAAGGCCAGGTAGGTGTTGAGGAGTGACATAAAGGCAGAAAAATATTGGAGGTGTTTACAGAGGGAATTCTGAAGGTCCAAGCTTTAGCAGCTGATGGCATGGCCACAGATAGTGATCGAATTTAAATCTGTAACATGAGCGAGGCCAAAACTAGAGGACTACAGAGTTCTCAGAGGCTGCAGAAGGTTACAGAGATAGGGTTCGGGTGAGACCAAGAAAGGATTTAATAATAAGTGAGAGAATTTCAAGATTGAATCTCTACAGCAAAAAGTGAGCGCTACTCAGGACTCCGCAATGTACATTCGATATGTTGGAGGGGAGAGAATCACTGTAGAGCAGGGAGAATGATAAATGTGCAGGGTTCAGAGAGGATGCAAGACTCAGAGTCTTTACTGATTTGGAGTTGATTTGGAGGATAGTCATTGAGAAGGCAATGACGTAATTGCAAAAAGTGAGCTTTGGTGTGATGGGGCATGAATAAGGCTTTTAGCACTTGAAACAACTCCTGCTGATTTGTTAATCCAGTTTTGAGAACAGCCGCAGATTATAAACTACCAGGCAAGTAGGATGGGTACGTGCTCCCAATTACACAATTTCTGTGGGTGTGGTGACTAAGACTCCTCTGTTCAGAATTGTCAGACCTTTAAAGTGTAGCCTCCTTTCAGCTCTGAATTATAAGGTTCGGAGTTCAAATCTCCTTCCAGGGCTTGAGCACAAAAGTAGAGGCTGATGGCCTCATGTTAGAGAGGGGTGTTTTCCTTCAGATGAAGTCATAAACTCAGGCTGATGGGATGCTAAAGATCCCACAGCATTATTCTTAAGAAGAGCAGTGGAGTGATCTTGGTGTCATGACCAATATTTATCCAACAATCAACACCACAAAAAATATTGTCTGGTCATTTTTACAATGATATTTGTGGGAGCTTCATTGAATCCCTACAGTCTTGGAGCAGGCAATTTAGACCACACCAACCCCCTTAAGAGCATCTCACACAGATCCATCCCCCCTGCCACCCTATCCCTGTAACCCTGCATTACCCATGGCCGATCCACCTAACATGCACATCCCACTATGGGCAATTTAGCATGGCCGATCCTCCTAACATGCACATCCCACTATGGGCAATTTAGCATGGCCAATCCACCTAACCTGCACATCTTTGGACTGTGGGAGGAAGCCAGGAAGCCACGCAGACAAGGGGAGAATGGGCAAACTGAATACAGACAGTTGACCGAGGCTGTATTCAAACCCAGGTCCCTGGAACTGTAAGGCAGCAATGCCATTAACTGAGCCACCATGTCAACTCAGACTGTGCACAAATTGGCTGCTGCACAATAACAATGGCAACACTTCAAAAACACTTCCTAGAGCACTTTGAGATGAGTGGTGGTTGTGAAAGACATTATTTATACACAAGCCTTTTATAAACTTGGTGACTTTATCATGTAATAATTTAATTATTTTGCTACGGATTTGAATTATTCCCTGCCCACGCATATGGTCTCTATACACAATTTATGACTTTGTATTTTATTTGTATTCTAGATATCATGTGATACAGGGAGTGTACAGCCTTACAGAGCTTCTGAATTGTTCATCTTATTCCCTGGCAACAATCACATCTGGTGTCAGCTTATCCCTCACCAAAACAAACAAGGTATTCTTTGTCCTTTGGAAAATGAACCAGCTGCAGATTTTACATTTCATACAGCAGTGTATTTATATTGAGGCCTGCTTTCATGATTTATAATTGCAACAATTTTCTGCTGTGACTATTTGGACTGCAGCTTCAAGAAGATATCTTAACATCACCTTCTGAAGGGATATTAGATTTAGATTTAGACTTTATTGTCACGTGTACTCAAATGCAAAAGTACAAGAGTGCAGTGAAAAGTGTATAGTGACACCATACACAGCACTATCTTAGGTACAGGTACCTAGGTACAAATCTTGAGAACAAGCTTGAAAGAAATAAGAACAAAGTTTTATGTTAAAACTTACAGACCATCCAAATAGAAAAATAACGAAATACAGCTAAAAGTTTAAACATTGCAGTCTTTCTCAAGTGCTTAGCCATGCCGGGACTGCACTTCCTATAAGGGCTCGATGTCTTCCACTTTGCTTTCCCCGCACAGTCCATTCCAGGGCTGTCCAGCTTTGGGGCCATCAGCGCCACACCACCAGGAGCAGCACACCGGGGCCTACCACGCCAGCTCCAAAGCAACCTGCCGCTCCCGTCAATCTGCCAGGGGGACCGATTCGGGACTACCGCAGCTGACCGATGCCAGCCGCAGATGCCACCTTTTCTGCCGACTCCAGAGACTGCCCTGCCGCCGCCACCACCACCGCCACTCGCCGCTGCGTCCGCATTCACTGCTCGTTCTCCCCAAGGAGCCGGGCCCGCTCTTGCCCTGCCAAAGAAGCCAGGAAGATCTCCAGAGACAAATAAACAAAGAAAAGAGAGCGAAAGCAAAAAGAAACAGAGCAAGCGGGCAGAAGCAGGCGAGCCCAGGGCCAGGAGCTCGGACATTGCGCTGCTACTCTGCCACCACCGTCTACCGCCATTAGGAACAGGCAAAAATTATTTCCCTTGTCAACGATACCCACATGCTGAAAAAAAGTATGTGCTTTATAAAAAAAAGTAGCTTTCTCCGTCAAAAAATTTCCATTCTGACGAAGAGTCATTCGAGTCCCAACATTAACTCGATTTTCTCTCTCCACAGATGCTGCCAGACCTGCTGAGTTTCTCCAGCGTTCTCTGCATTTGCTCCAAACTTCCAGCATCCACAGTATTTTGTTTTTACTTTTTAAGCAACAGGAAAGGAGCAAACCCCATGCTGACTTAACATTCTGGGTTTCCATTTAATCCATACTGGGTGGCTAAACAAAGTGCTGTACTGTGACAGAGTGCCACTTTAAGGTGCTAGGGCAGACTGGCATGTTACAGTGCAGGATTACCATCCCAGATCAGCTGAGGAAATTGCTAGTCTGGAGGAAAACAGCTGCCCCATCCTGATGATTCACTGTAACTAAAGACATTCTCCATAGCCCTGCTATCAGGTCAGATGAGATGTTAAACCGAGGCCCTCTTAGCCTATTGGATGGGCCTGAAAGATCCCAATGCTGCTTTTCCAATAAAAAGCAGGTGGGTTCTCCCAGTGTCCTGACCAACATTTATCCCATTTATCACCATTAACAAATTGCTTGCAGTGCATGAAATTGGTGGCTGTGTTTCCGATGTTATAGCACTGCCTAAACTTTAGAAGTATTTCTGGTTGTGAAGCGCTTCAAGGAATCCTGAGGCTGTGAGAGGCACTATTCTCAGAATAAACATGAGGAAGTCTTTATTCAAACTGCTGTGCTATTGAACCACTGAAAGAAAAGCATCACACAATGTTTAACTCTAATGTTGACAGCGTGATGTTGTTTGAAAAGGTATGTCCCAGCAATAGTGAAGGAAAACTGTAGTACAGCATGGATCACTGAGAGCTTGGTGCATCCCAAATGAAGTTATCAGAGAAGCTGGAATTGTTCTACTTATAGAGTAGAGGACATTAAAGAGAGATTACTAGATGGGGTCAGAATTATGAGGAGTCTTAATAAAATAAGTAGGAAGAAATTGGCTGAAGAGTTAGTAACCAGAGGGCTCCATGTTTAGGAAATTAGCAAAAGAATCTGAAACGAGATAAGGAGGTAATCTTGACAAAGTGCATTATTTTGATCTGGAATGCCTGAAACAGCTGTGGAAGTAGATTTAATACGAAATTTTCACAGAGAATTAGATAAATCTTTGAAGAGGAAAATCAATAGGATAATTTGAGAGAAAGCATGGGGGAATGGTATAAATTAAGACCATAAGAAATTGAAACAGGAGTAGGCCGTTCTGCCCCTTAAGCTAGTTTGGCCATTCAATAGAATCATGGCTGATCCGACACTCCTCATGTCCACATTCCTGCCCTTTCCCCGCAACCCTTGATGCCCTGACTTATTAAGAATCTAACCTATCTCAGCCTTAAATATACACAAGGACTCTGCCTTCCTCGCCTCAGAACTTTGCAGCGAGGACTTTCAAAGATTCACAACCCTCTGAGAGAAGAAATTCCTCCTCATCCCAGTTTTAAATTAGCATGCCCTTATTCTGAGACTATGTTCTCTGGTCCTAGACTTTCCCAGGAGGGGAAACATCCTCTCAGCATTGATCCTGTTCAGCTTCTTAAGAATCCTAATGGACAGCCTTTTCAAAAAGCCAGCACAGTTGTCTAAATGGGCTTCATTCTTGTGTTGTGTCTTTCTATGATGAGTGTTTGGATGGTGTTTCAGTCTTCAGCTCCAATGGTTTCCCAATTTCAGTCATGTTCGGATCAAATATTTCCTATACTTTCTTCAAGGAGGTGAGCATTACTGACAGTTATTGCCCATTACTAGTTGGTCTTGAGTCGTTGGTGGCATCATTTTAATGATAGTGGTATGATCAAACCCTCACAAGGAACCGATAAACTCAGTGCGTTAGTTTCTGTAAAACAGTAAAATACATTACAAGTTATGAAGCAGACATTACAGCAAACCAACCAATTTCTGTGTGTGTGGCAGTTTGCAAGCCCACAGCAGACAGGCAGGCAGAGTCACAACATTGTATACTTGCAGCACATGGTAAAGTGAACTCTCTTAAAGGCAAGGCACACATACAATGAGTGGTGGGCTGCCTAATTACAAGGAAGGAAAATTGAAGTGAGGGTAATTAATGAGACAGATACATTTGTCTGACAGATTTATGAGAACCTTGACACAGGACTCTCTGAGGCAAAGATAAGATATAGTTTAGAAGAATGCTAAAGAGAGAATTTTGGAAGGTGAAAGTAATCTAGTGCCTTCATTCTAAAATTCAGCCTTGGGACTACAAATGTGCTGCTTTATTAAATTATTATTATAACTAAACCTAACAAATATTTTGTTTTCCTAGAACCCTCTAATTGGAGGAGCGAACATTCTCAATCCTGATATTGCTTTAACAAATGGGGTTATGCACATTATTGATAAGGTAAGGTCAGCCTTCTGAGTGCAATTGGCATTTTAAGCTTCATGTCACCAAAGTTCCCCAATGATGTAGAATTGATGTATAGCATGAATAAGGTTACATTGGGATGAATATGTCCTCCTTAGGCCCTTACCTGGCCAAAAGAAACAGGCGACAAAAGTGCCAAATGATCAGTTCCATGACTTGCACCTCCACGAGCACCTGAAATAGGTCCATCTGTTGGGTCAGTCAACGTTTCAGGCATCTCTGATGGTCAGCTATGACAGACCTTGCTTGCGTTGTGTCAGATAATGGGGATCCCTTATTGTGGTACCCCAAGCAAAATTGGTCCTGGGCCTGCTCTTCTCAGGATGACCTGCTATGGTTGTGGCCTAGCAAGTGGACAGCATCAAAAATACTTAATTGAAAAATATGTTTAACAGCTTGAGGTAGAGCCAGGACTACATTCAAATGAGACCTCATACTAAATTCAGCATTAGGCATGGCCCTGTCTGGCAAAGATGTTCTATCTGTGCACCTTTGGATGTGCATGTGAAAACAAGCTATAAATATATCTACTCCTTTACATTCTTTTCCATATGAACTTGGTTCTTTTCTTTCCTAATGCTGGACGTCTTCCCCTGGTTACATTTATTCCCATATCCATTATAACACACTGCCTTTATAACCACAACATAAGTTGATTTTTGAACATCAACTGAGGATTCAAGAGAGCACCGGACAATTATTTGGTTAGGAATGGTGTACAGGGATATAGGGGAAAGGCAGGAGATTGGCACTAGGTGATAGAACCAGAGCAAGCATGATGGGCTGAATGACCTCCTCTTGCACTGTAACATTTCTGTGATTCTGTTAACACATACTAAGATTTTTTTCTATAACTTGCCAATAGTTAATTAATATGTATAGTACCAATTGTTGTGTTCTAGGTTCTCTTACCTGATCAGCCAATGAGTGACGCACCAACCAATCTACTGTTTACTCTGGACCAGATGCCTGACTATTCTCAGTTTAGAACTTTTGTAATTGTAAGTTCTGTGGAGAATCATTAAATGATGCTATTGGAGTATTGTAAACGTATCACTAAAGCATATCTCTATCTGTCACAGCAACAGAACTTGACAGAGCAGATTGAGAGCGCCAGCACTTATACAGTCTATGCCCCAAACAACGAAGCCATTGAGAAGTATCTCAAGGAGAAATCAGTTGATGTAATGGTATGTTTTTGAGTTCAGACCTCACTGGGGCAATTTGAAAACTTACTGTATTTACTGCATCAGTATTTACTGTGGAGAACTTGGGGAAATTAATAGTGACGTCTTAAGAAGAATTTGTATTATAGAAGAGGAGGTGCTGGAGGATGTAAAATGCATAAAGGTAGATAAATCCCCAGGGCATGATTAGGTGTACCCTAGAACTTTGTGGGAAGCTAGGGAAGAGATTGTGGACCCCCTTCTGAGATATTTGCATCATCGACAGCCACAGGTAAAGATTGGAGGTTGGCTAATGTGGTGCCATTTTTTAAGAAAGGTAGTAAGAAAAAGCAGGAAACCATAGACCTTTATGTCAGTGGTGGGCAAGTTGTTGGAGGCGTTCTGAGGGACAGGATTTACATACATTCGGAAAGGCAAGGACTGATTAGGGATAGTCAACATGGCTTTGTGCATGGGAAACCATGTCTGACTAACTTGATTGAGTTTTTTGAAGAGGTAACAAAGAAGATTGATGAAGGCAGAGCAGTAGATATTGTCTATATGGGCTTCAGCAAAGCATTTGACAAGGTTCTGCATAGTAGACTGGATAGTAGGTTTGGTTCACATGGGATCCAGGGGGAGCTAGCCAATTGGATACAAAATTGGCTTGAACGTGGGAAACAGAGGGTGGTGATAGAGGTTTGCATTTTGGACTGGAGGCCTGTGACCAGTGGTGCACCACAAGGAGCAGTGCTGGGTCACTGCTTTTCAACATTTATGTAATTAATTTGGATGTTGATATATAGGAGGTATGGTTAGTAAGTTTGCAGATGACACCAAAATAGGTGGTGTATTAGACTCTGAAGAAGATTATCTCAGAGTACAACGGATCTTTGCTAGGGTGCTAAGGTGGACCAATGGGCCGAGGAGTGGCAGATGGAATTTAGATAAATGTGAGGTGCTGCATTTTGATAACACAAACCAAGGCAGGACATATACAGTTAATGGTAGGGTCCTGGGGAGTGTTGCTGAACAAAGAGACCTAGGGGTGCATAGTTCCTTGAAAGTGGAGTCACAGGTAGACAGGGTAGTGAAAAAGATATTTGGCATTCTTGCCTTCATTACAAGATGATCAGAGGATTAGATAGGGTGGACAGTGGGAGCCTTTTTCCTCGGATGGTGATGGCTAGCACGAGGGGACATAGCTTTAAATTGAGGGGTGATAGATATAGGACAGATGTCAGAGGTATGTTCTTTACTCAGAGAGTAGTAAGGGCGTGGAATGCCCTGCCTGCAAAAATAGTAGACTCGCCCACTTTAAGGGCATTTAAATGGTCATTGGATAAACATATGGATGATAATGGAATAGTTTAGGTTAGATGGGCTTCAGATTGGTTTCACAGGTCGGCGCAACATCGAGGGCCGAAGGGCCTGTACTGCGCTGTAATGTTCTATGTTCTATGTTCTATGTTCTATGTTCATTGGTCAGAACACTGAGCATAGGAGTTGGGATGGCATGTTGTGGCTATACAGGACATTGGTGAGGGCACTTTTAGAGTACTGTGTACAATTCTGGTCACCCTGCTATAGCAAAGATATTATTAAACTTAAAAGGGTTCAGAAAAGATTTACAAGGATGTTGCCAGGGTTGGAGGGTTTAAGCTATAGGGAGAAGCTGAATAGGCTGGGGCTATTTTCCCTGGAGCATTGGAGGCTGAGGGGTGACCTTATAGAGGTTTATAAAATCATGAGGGGCATGGATTGGATGAATACCAAGGTCCTTTTCCTAGGTTGGGTGAGTCCAAAACTTGAGGGCGTAGGTTTAAGGTGAAAGGGGAAAGATTTAAAAATTACCTGAGGGATAGCTTTTTCACGCAGAGCTGATGCACGTATGGAATGAGCTGCCAGAGAAAGTGGTGGAGGCTGGTACAATTACAACATTTAAAAGGCATCCAATTGGTGTATGAATAGGAAGGGTTTAGAGGGGTATGGGCCAAATGCCGGCAAATGCGACTAGGTCAGATTTTCTGAAGAAGGGTCTCGACCCGAAACGTCAGCTTTCCTGCTCCTCTGATGCTGCTTGGTCTTCTGTGTTCATCCAGCTCCACACCTTGTTATCTCTAGATCAGATTGAGCTGGTTGGCACACACGAGTAGCACTGAAGAGTCTATTTCTGTGCTGTATAACTCTATGAGTCAATGAGAAGTAGAAATCCAAAAAATATCTAAAGTTTTGCATTGGAACCAAGACGGTTTTTGCCCTTTTATGGATGTGGATGTCACTGGCACAACCAGAATTTGGTGCCTATCTGTGATTTCCTTTTCATGAATTGTGGAATGTGGGCAACACTGGCTGGGCCATTATTGCCATTAATGCCCATCTTTCATTGCCCTTGGGAAGGTGGTGGTGAGCCACTTTCTTGAACCACTGATTATCCGGGAGAAGGTGGTTTGCAATGTCTTGTTAAACTGCTCCAGTCCATCTGGTGAGGGTGCTCCCATAGTGCTGTTAGGAAGGGAGCTCCAGGCTTTCAATATGGCAACACTGACAGAACAGTAATATAGTTGCAGGCCAGGGTGGTGGGTGTCTTGGAGGGGAACATGCACATTATGATGTACCCATACATCTATTGCCCTTGTCTTTTTGTGTGATAGCAGTTGCATATTTGGAAGGTGTTCGTGAAGGAGTCATGATGAGTTATTGCAATGAATCTTGTACATAGTATATGTTGTCTAAGACAGTTAGTACCTGAAAGAGTTAACTACCATCACTAACATCAAACTGCACCCATTAGCTATCCAAGGAACTAACAGGAGTCTAACCTCCATTCAGAGTGTTTTTGTGTATATACAGTACCTGTAGCTAGTATGGTGTGTACTTACTCCTAGGTTGAGTCTGATACCCTGGCAAGGTACTGTCAAGCATCTCAGATGCTGTGTGAAAGAATATTTCATTATGAACCTATTTACTATTCATAAAGATTGAGCCTTATCTTGTACCGTGGACTTCATGTGGAGTATTCCATCACACTCCCAATTTGAACCTTGCAGATGGCTTTGGAAAGTTTGGGAATGATTGAACATTCTACAGAATTTCCAGCTTCTAACCTGCTCTTGTATCCAGTTCACCTTCTGCTAATCCCAGGGAGTTAATAGTCAGATGATTCAGCAACAGTGAAATGAATTCTCTCTTGTTGGAGATGGTCATTGTCTGATATTGTTTAAATTCATGATTCTGAAGGGGTTAATGTTAATGTTACAATGACCACACCTATTCTACTGTTGTCACACACAGTCTATCAGTGGAGACAGGGAGCTCTACTCTAGCTTTCAGAGGGAGCAATGCGTCTGTACCAGTTGTAATCATACCTTTAGTTACCTACTGTTATCATGCAACATTCTTGTCATCACAGAACAGACCTCTTCATTAGATACTCTGCAGTGGTGACTCCTCTAACACTAAACTCTAGATAGGCCCAACACAAAGGAGGATTGGTAGCAGCAAACTACCTTGAACAACCCTTACCCAGTGCCACTTTCTGGTAGAGATGGCAAATACCACAAGGTACCAGGAGTGGTCATCTGAGAAGTATTGTTGTGTGGCATGAATGTTATTTTCCACATATTTGCCCACACCTCAATGTTAGATTTTGTTGCATATGTGTACTGTCTGCTTCAGTATCTGAGGAGTTGCAAATGGAGCTGAACATTGTGCAATCATCAATGAAAATCCCCACTTCTGACCTTCATGTAGAGGGAAGGTCATTGATGAAGCAGCTTAAAAAGGTTGGGTATAGGACTCCACCCTGAGGAACTCCTGCAGTAATGGGGGAGGTGGTAACAATGGGCTCATAATCAAGACTCTTAATGTACTAGGGGTTTAAATCCCACTATGGCAGGTAGTGAAACTTGAATTCAATAAAAATCTGGAACTAAAAGTTAAGCTAATAGTCACCACGTAACCACAGTCAATTAGTGCAAAATCTCACCCGGTTCATTAATGTCCTTTAGGAAAGCAAATCTGCCATCCTTACCTGATCTGGCCTACATATGACTCCAAATCCACTGCAATGTTGTTGACTATTCTCTGGGCACTTAGGGATGGGTGATAGATGCTGGCCCACATGCCATGAATGAATAAACTGCAATTGAGATGATTAGCATCCAGCAATAACAAACATGTTCTTTTATGCTGGGTATGACACAAACTGGTGGAGAATTTTTGGAATTGTGTCCTTGGTGCCACAATTGGTCAAATGCTGCTGTGATGCCAAGGGCAGTCACTCTCACTTCACCTCTTTGAGTTTGACTCTTTTGTTGGTGCTTGAACAAAGGCTGTACTGAGGTCAGGACGCAAGTGGCCCTGACAGAACCTAATATGAAAACATTATAGCTTTTCAAGTGCTGCTTGATAGCACTGTCAACACACTTCCTACCAGTTTGCCTTTAATTGAGATGAGGTTGATGGATCACTAATTGGCTGGATTGGATTTGTCCTGATTTTTGAGGATAGTACATAACTGGGCAATATTCCCTGTCATTGGGTAGATGCCAGTGTTGAAGTGTACAGGAACAGGTTGTCTAGGGGTCCAGCAAATACAGGAGCACAAGTTTTCAGCAGATTACTAGGATGTTGTCAGGCCCATAGCCTTCGCAGTATCCAATGCCTTCAGCTGTTTCTTGATATCACATGGAGTGAAATTGGCTGAAGACTAGTATCAGTGAAGCTGACGACCTCTGTGGGATTCCCAGATGGATTATCCAGTTGACACTTTTGATTGAGGATGACAATGGGAATATTCATGGAGCCTCCTTTCTTAAAATTAATTCTTGGGACGTGAATGTCATTGATGAGGCCCACATATATTGTCCACACAAAAGCAAAAAACTGCAGAGGCAGAAAATCTAAAACAGAAACAGGAAGTGTTGGAGAAACTCAGCAGCTCTGGCAGCATCTGTGGAGAGAGTTAATGTTTCGAGTCCAGTATGACCATTCTTCAGAATTGAAAGGGTTGGAAAATGGTGTTTTTTTAATACTTTTGCCAGAGGTGGAGGACCAGTAAGGGGCACAGATGGTGTGGAGGCCTGCTGTAAAAGACAAAGGGGCTATAATTAGGTGAAAGAGTGATAGAGATGTAAAATGTGTGTAATTTAGGGTGTGGTAATAGTGAAAATGGATCCTTGATTGGCCCTGAGAACATAGTGGTTCGCAAAATTCCTGAACTGCAGCAGTCCCTGTGGTGTGAGTATATCCACAGTGCTGTTTGGGATGGAATCAGAAGACTTCGACCCAGTGAAGGAATGGTGATATAGTTTCAGAGCAGAATAGTGTGTGGCTTGAAGAAGACATTGCAACTGGTGGTGTCCCCATGTTACTGCTGCCCTTGTCCTGCTGGGTGGTAGAGAGCATGGGTATAGTAGGTGCTATTGAAAGAGACTGGGCAGGTTGCTGATACTTGCCATGAGAACATTAATGGATTTTCATTTTACTTTTGAACTAAATCAGTGGCTTATGACGTAAAAAATGTGTTATCTTTAACTCCGTCCAGGATGAAGACCTAATCAGATACCACATCATTTTGGATCAAAAGCTAATGAAAAGTGATATGCACAATGGAATGCATCGGGAGACAATGCTTGGATTTTCCTTCCAAGTCGGCTTCTTTTGCCGAAATGATGAGGTATGTGTGCATTCCATAACCTCCCCATTTGTTAGCTTTAAAATTATTTGCAAAATGCTTCTGCACCACAGCAACATGGGATTTTACTTTGCCCATTACTTTGGTCTAATTTCTTAAAGTCTTGTTGAATTTTTTTGTCTTTTTCATTTTCAAATTTTAATTTGTGATTTTTAATGTACCCTCAATGAATTTCCAAATGGGCGAGATAAAGTATTGAATAGTACTGTTTGACTTACTGGAAGGTGGAAGAAGCCAAGTTTAGAGGAGGCTAAGGTGTGAATAATGATTTCAACAGCAACAGGGTGAGATAGGTCAAATGGTTACAATAATGTCCCTGCAGAAAAGTTGGACCGAAAGTAACCCAGCTTGCCCACCTTGCTTAACCCAGGCAGTTGTGATAGCTATTGCATTAATGTTCAGAAACTCCCACTCAATGGAACATGAAAAACCAGGGAGAGGGAGAAGAAAACAAACTCAGGCCAAATGAGGTGGAAGAAATCCTTACTGAATCCCTTTCGGTCATCAAAACAGGTCCTGAAAGACAAAATGAACCTAACTCTCTCTGAAGTAAAGGTTGCTTCAGAAGAAAGCAGATTTAGGTCTCTCAAAGATTTACAATGAGCCAACGCTGAGCAAAGGTCAACGGGAAAAGAAGAATACCTGACCCAGATACACCCTTATACATTAAGGACTCAAAGATGGGAGAGTGAAAGCCAAAGTGGGTTACACTGTGGCTGGGCAGGAGACAGATACTAGCTTGGTGAGGACAAAAGCAGGCCAATGGAAGAACAGCAATAGCAGCATCGTAATGTCAGGTGGAAGATCTCAGGAAGAGATGGGAGTTGGAGAACTGGTGAGGAGGTTTGTAAGGGCATTTCCAGGAGTAATGAGGCTGGAGGGAAAAAGGGAGCTTTCAATCTTAAAGCTGGGAGGATGCGGTCAGAGACAGTCATAATAGCGGTCAGGATTAATCCCTCAACCAACATCACTTTAAAAAATGCAAATACCAAGCCATTACCACATTAATGTTTTTGTGAGCTTGCGGAGCACAAATTGCCTGATGTATTCCCTACATTACAACAGTAACTGCACTTCAAAACTACTTCATTGACTGTAAATTACATTGAGATAGATGGTGATCATAAACAGTGCTAACTAAATGCCAGAGATAGTAGGAACTGCCGATGCTGGAAAATCTGAGATAACAAGGTGTAGAGCTGGATGAACACAGCAGGCCAAGCAGCATCATAGGAGCAGGAAGGCTTCTTG